ACTACCCTGTAAAGCCGCAAGAAGTCCTTCCAAACCTGTAGACAAATTCACCACCCCACCAATGAGTGTCAACACTCGTGCCCAGTTCGTTGTGGGTGCACAATCAGAAGTCCTTCCAAAGCAAGTCCAGTCTGTTGGTCCAGTCTGGCAGCTGGAGCTGAGCTGGCTGCACCCGGCTGGCGAACAGAAGGTACAAGGCCCAAGTGGCTGCAGCGGTCAACTCTGCTGCTGGGGGACCCAGCGGTCGGTCGTAAGCGGTGTCGACCGACTGCAGGACCTGGGCGGAAACGCATGTCTTGGTCCGCCGATTTTCCATAGTCGGTGTCTCTTTCATGTCATCAGGTGCATATTATCTGCATATTGGGCGACGTTTCCTGCCAAGTGCTTTGCCTGATTTGCGGGACGCATGTGGCCCACTTGTGTGACCGCCGGACTGCTGGCCTGAAGACGACGAATGGCTTCCAGCTTCCTCTTTTTCAGGATCGTCCGTGATCTGGCACCCGGCACCGGGTTCCGTGGTCGGGTTCCGGTGCACGGGCGACGTGCGGACCGCTGTGACAGCGGAGGCGGTCTATGGCTGCGACGCCTTGCTGATCGCTGCGAAGATGGGACTGGGGAGCCTGGTGGGGCGGAGAGGGACGCATGGCTGTCGTTGGAGTATCTCAAGTGCGGAAGTATGGGTTGATTTTGGCATGGAGAATGCAAATGGGTCAACAAACCGCCACATGTCATGGAATGTCCAGTTCTAACAGAGCTTCAACAAATACCAGCATGTTGGCGGAAAGCAGGTCCTCTCGCCATTTTCTGATGCATGATGGCACCGGAAACGGCTAGGAATCTCCCACGCACTTGCTTTAAAGGCAATATTTCCTGCAATTTCAGCCTTCAGTTCCCTTGAGGAATTTGGTGGCTTCATCTAGACCACCTAAGTGTTCTCCGAGCAAAGTGGGCTTTCGAAAAGAGTAGAACCAGAAGAAACAATGGTTTGGGCCGGTCTGGCCAAGACGCAACGCATCCTTGATGTGCAAACTGCAAACTGTGAAAAGAACTGGTTTGGTCGGTGCTTCAACAAAGACGCTACAGTAACTCATCGAAGGCCCATCGCCAGCATCCTAGCCCTGCCCCACCCCTCCTCGGCAAGCCCAAGCTCAATTGTAAGACCCAAGCCACTCCCAACGATCCAAGATAGAGAGAGAGAGAGAGAGCACAATTCTCATGGGTTGGACGACCACCCGATGCTCCACTCTCATACCTGATGCTCCACTCTTTCGGACTCCGCTGGACACCTCTCCTCCCACGTGTGAGGCTTACCTGGCACCTCCAAGGGCGAAGTCATCTCTCCGGAGGAGGCCGCGGGACGCAGCGCGCAGGCGGTTTCTTGCTGTGCCAGCTTGATGCCAGGACCACGGTCAAGAGTCAAGAGTCAACACTAGTCTTGCGCAGGGAGTGCGAAAAGACTATCCCTGGATGGGATACCGAAGAGATCTGAAGAGTATGAGAAGAATTGCTTTGTCACGAAAGCTAGCACCAGCTAGCTGGAGTTGTCCTTGCTTTAGCAAGTGAGGGGCTGGAATCCTCGGGATCGCCGCATCACGTGAAAACTTCATATGTAGGGGGCCCCCCCCCCGTGGGTTCAACTCCCCCCTCGGACGCCTCTGGGACACCTCTCGGGCATCTCTTATGGCATCCACTTTGGCTCAACTCCTCCGGGATACGGTGCAACAGATTCAACAAGCTCACATGTTCATGACATCGACATCGATAGAAGAAACCAAACAAATCATGCAAGCAGCTTTGTTTTGCCTCTGGGACACCTCTTGGGCACCTCTTATGGCATCCACACTGGTTCAACTCCTCCGTGGAGGTTTTGGGATACGGTGCAACAGATTCAACAAGCTCACAGGTTCGTGAACACATCGGATGCATCGAACAGTGTGGCAAAGTCCAGCCACGCTTCCTTGTGTCATTGCTGTTTGTGTGTCTTACATGTTCACAACGTTTTACCTCAGGAGCATTTGCCTCACTCCGCTTGATGTCCCACCAGTCCGGATGCACCCCTGCTAGCTTTCATCACCTACCCTCGGCCTCAAGTGATCCAAGAGGGGGGCTTTGCGAAGTTCTACGTTTTGGTCCGGTGTTGACAACATCGACAACCCATCCGAACGTCCCTCACCCCAAGCTTCACCGAACGCTGGAGCGCCATACCAACCGCCTAGAAAGGACTGTTCCAAGAAGCTGCTTGGGTGGCTCCTGCTCAGTGTCTTTGAGAGTTGGAAAGTGTGGATGATACTTGTATGTGGGACAAGTGACCCTGGTGGGTGGCTTTCTCTGAAGACAGGCAGTGCCGACGAAGCGAACGTTGTTGATTGGTATCGCAGAAACCAAGCTGCAACCATGCTGGCTTTTGGTGGCCAATTTCCAGTGTCCGTTTCCTAGAAGCTCGAATAGTCGAGCGCGCGGCAGGCAGCTGTGATTTGGGCGGATGTGCTGTCGACCTTGGCACGCTTGCGGACTCTCTGAAACGGCAAACAGGCCAAACAGGACTGCCAAAACCACCAGCTACAATACATTGAGACAGGATGAGACAGGGTATCCGGAGTCTTGGGCTTCTCATGGCCAAGTCAACTCAAGTGGTCCATCATGATATGACATGTTTATATAGACCTGGAGGTTTGGGGCCCTGATCGGGTTCTTAATTCATCTGGTTCCACCCGGAGCCTCAAAGGCCGGACATGACAGGCGAAGTGCCAAAGGTCCAAGCCTCAGGGTCACAGGAGAATACAGGCCGCGTTCCGATCGGTGACCCATCAAATCTCTGAGGCTTTTCCGTCCGCGTTCCCTTCCATCAGTGGTTCTTTTCTTTCACTGTAGGGAATGCTTCAAAAATACGCTTCGAGTTTGCCCCTTCCTCCTGAGTGAAACTGCCATCACTGAATGAGACTTCATTTCTTCATCAAATTTCTGTCTTCTGAGGAACAGCCTTCAAACAAATTGCCTTTTGTCTTGGCAGAGGTGCACCTGAGAAGGGAAGATCCAGGGACGCAGCGCGCGCAATGCGCATCGGACGATGCAAACACCAGGGAGAAAGGTCACACAGATTTACAAAGGGTAAACATCAACCTGAGGGTAAACGGTAAACATTAACCTGCTTAACAGTCATAAAGGGTATACGGTATATATATGTAAAGATACAACATCAACCTCTTTACTGGGGCAGTCATAGCGGCTCACAAGATCATGAACAGTTTTTTTGTTGGCAATGATGATTGATGATTGCTTCGGGTGGCAATTCAATTTTTCGTAAAGTGAGGCGCATTGCTGGACAAACTGGTTGCACGAGGTTGCATAAAGGTGATGTGCTGGATCGGCTCTCCAATGAGCACATTGGATCTATACGAGAGCCACATTGAACGCTCCAAGCCAAGTGCAGACTGGAGCATGGCTCTCTTGCAAAAGTAAGAGGTGTGTTTTTGACGTTCCTCCTTCAGGCAGAGAATCCGGTGCGGTGAACCACATAAAGGCAGTTTGACGTTCCTCCTCATGTCCTTTATCAACAGGTCTTTTCTTTTCCAGACCAAGGCCCCCACGGCTTCAAGAGATAAAGGCATGATAAAGGAGGATTGAAAACGCCGCCAGGCTGTGCCTTGACCCCCTGGCCCCTTGGGTCTGCCTGAAAGTAGCCAGCCCTGTCTGGGTGGGTTTCATCGGGTTGGTCGGGGCCTTTGATACATACCCATACCCATGCTGAGCGAAAGAATCAACATACCACCCACTTCCCCTCTTCGCCAAACCCTCCGACCCCTGCTCCCCGGTTCCCCCGTTCGCTGCGGACCCTCGCGCAGACGCGTCGCACCACCGGCGGCGCTTGGGTCGAGCGCTGGCCGCCGCCTTCGGCCTCGGGACGCCGCTGACGCAGTGAGCGAGCGGCGGTGAGATGCAGAACGCCTCAACCTGCGAGGGGAGGGGCGGAATTCCGGGTGAAGCCGTGAAGCCGAAGAAGGAATGGAACAGACACATGTATACGCATTCTGAAAGAACTACAGAGATGAACATGGTGAAGTATCCATTTGATCAATGAAGAAAGGCTCCGAAAGAGATGGATGTTTGCTCATTTAATCGGAACAACATAGGCTAGAAAGGCTCTTTGCTTCAACCTTAAGGAAGCGGAAGAGCACCGAATCACAGCCGCAGTGGGTGCGCCCACCCAAAGCCCGTGCGGGGCGCTGTGGACGAAGATCCGGGGAGGTGCCGACGGATCGCGGAACACCTGGCCTGGCATCTTCTGGAGAAGAGGCAGTTGCCCGATGCGGATTTGCTGCTGGTACTGAAGCATGGCGAAATCGGAGACAAACATTTCATGCTGAAATCGAAAGGACAAGCAGCAACAGCGAGCAGCACTAGGAACCTCCCAGATCACAACCACAGGCAGGCCGTGTCAGGAAGCAGCCGTGTGACTTTTCTGGCAGCCTGCTGGTGCTCCGGACGAAAACGGTCCAGGGCCCTGGGCCTGCTGAAATCTAGCAGGGCAGCAGAAAACGATTCGGGTCTTGATCTTGGTGATTAGATCGATGGATGCACCCGAAGATTGAGATGTGACGCCTGATATCGGATTTTTGATCGTCACGTGCCACTAGTATTCTCTCTCTCTCTCTAATCTCTCTCTCTCTCTATATATATATATACATACATAGTTGTCAATTTCAAACATACTCCTAGCTAGAGAAAGTTGCCCATTTGGCCATGATGATCTTGTAGATGTGATCTGGTTTGCGCTGAAACGACGGCATGCGGGATGTGGCATGTGGCATGCGCTTGCTCGATCGAGCCATGTTGGTCGCAGGTAACGCAGTACCGGGTCTGGGCCGATCCCAATCGGCCGCGAGCTGGGTGATGAATGAGCTTTCTTCACATCGGAGAGACGCATGTCCAAAAGTCAGACTTTTACACTTGAACCGTGTCTGAGTCTCAGAGCACCTTTAGGTTCCGAACCTTGATTCCACAGGCCGTTTTGGCAAGAGCCAGCTCAAGTTCCTGCATCAACTCGGTCCTTTGGCGGTCCAAGTGAACCACCATGGCAGGTCGTGTCGCATCGGCTACGGCGTTGGCCCTCTCCGCAGGCAGCTGCATGGCCTTTGTCGCGCCCAGCGCGCAGGACACCACCCAGCAGGTGTCACTGCGTGCCTCCGCCAGTGCCAAGCCCGCCCAGCCCTCCATGGGGTCCGGTGCCTGGGGTGTGGCTGGAACTGCGGCCGCCATGTCTGTGTTGGGCCTGGCCAGTCGCCGCAGTAGTGGAAAAGCGGTGGCGCGACAGGTGGTGGGTGTTTGCTTGCCTTTGACGGAGAAGTTCGACCCTCTTGGGTTGGGGACAGAGGCCAAGATGGAGCGCTACACCCAAGTAGAGATCAAACACGGGAGGGTGGCCTGCTTGCCAAAAGTGTGGCCCTGAAGTTTTCCTCATTCCTCACTCCTTTGAAATGAATCTGGGTCAAACCTCCCCAACCCCCCCCGTTCGCCGGTTGGGTGGTTCGAACTCCAGGTAGCCATGATCGCCGTGCTGGGCTATATCATGCCGGAGGTCTTCCGCTTCCCAGGCTGCGAGGAGTTCAAGCACGGCCTCGGCGCCTTTGAGACCATCCCCTTGGAGGGCTGGGTGCAGTTGGTCGCCTTGGTCGGCGCCCACGAGGCCCAACACCCGACGGTCGGGACGTGGTCGCCGGTGGTCGCGCTCTGGTCGGTGCGTTGGCCTTGTTGTTGGTTTTGAGCCGAACGGTCGCAGCCGAACGGTCGAGGTGTTGAGCCGGCGGAGGTTTTGAGGCTTTCGGTGGGAAAGCGGTCGGACTCGAATCCCACGAATCGATCCGATGGTTGGTCCGGTGGTCAAGATGGTCCATGGGGCAGGTTTTTATCAGGTTTTTGATGGGTATTCTGGTATTCCAGAGTTCCAAGTGCTCCTGCACCATCCTAGATACCCCCCAATCCATATATGATGAATCTAATGGGTATGACACTTAGTATGGTACTTGCTGTGCTCGTACCTTCCTTCACCTCCGGCTACCTCCAGGTCTTGGTGAAGCCCCGCGCGGGCGGCCTCGGCTCCAGCGACTTCGGCCTGGGCACCGAGCTTTTGGACGGCATCGATGACGAGGAGTTGGAGCGCAAGCTGACCGTCGAGCGCAACAACGGGCGCTTGGCGATGGTGGCCATCATGGGGCTCATGGTGCAGGTGTGGTTTTGGGGCGAGAAAAACACACCGATATGAATGCGTGGATGGAATTGTCCGGTATATCCGTTTCTTCTTTTCCGGAGTTGGTGGGTGGTCATTTTGGAGGTCTTTAGGGTGACCCTCCAAGTGAAGCGGGACTGTAGAGTCTACAGTAGATTTATCAGAATGGCCACTCTTCTTGCAGAATCAAGTTGAGTTTGCAGGATGGCATGTTTGGAGAGCCTCCTTTGACGTACATGTCCAAGAACGGCTGGTGGGGAGAGCCTGTCCAATGGTACGTCCAGCACATCAACAATTGCCAGTCCTTCACTGGCGCGGTGGTGGATAACGCGGCCGTTTGCGCCTTGCCACGCCGCACCGGCCGAACCACACTCCGGGCCACCAAATTGAGCGAAGGGCCTTTCATTGAGACACCTGGAAGGGCTTGAGGCAGTTTTGTTTTTTTCCTGGCTGCACTGTCCCCAGAAATCCGCTTGCAGCGATGTTTTTTGCTGCACTCCATTTCGTGTCATCGATTCGACTTTCTTCCTTTTTCATCGTCCCCACATTGTGCGGGGACGGTCCGTCCTGCGCACGGGCAAAAACGCCATCTCGGTGTGATTTGTCGGACCTGTTTTTCCCGTGATAAATCAACGTGTTAATCTTCAAACCGGATAATGAATGACTATAACAAGGGCATTACTACTTAGTAGCAAGAAGCTAGTAGTAACAAGTGCATTCGGTTCTCTGCAACGACGCTACTAGATACGGACGCTTTGGTGTATCTGCGCGCGGTTCGGTTCTCCGCAGCGTTCGAAGGACCGAGACCTACCCAAAGGAGATGGAGATGTCCGCTTCCGTGCCATTCCTCCGTTATCCCCAGGCTCAGCCGGGTCATGGCATGGTGCCGGCTGGGGAAAGCTGGAAGATGTTTCCCGTAAATGCCAGCACCAAAGCACCATGCAAGTAGAGGGCGCAACACCTGATATCGGCTTGGCATGTGTGTCAATGTGTTTGGCACTTTGGGGTGTTGTGGGAGTGCTTCAGCCAACTCTGCTTTCAGAATATCAGAGAAATGGTGAACGCCTTCCAAGGCGATAGACCTATCATTAGCAGGCCATCTCAGGTCATTATATAAGATTTTTGCTTGACCAGGTATATAACACCTATACATACACCTACTCATCACCCCTTTAGGGACCAGACACCTCAGACACCTGTCTTGGCACGAATTCCGTGAAAACACTCTGATCCACTCTGATCCCCAGACACGAAGACACAGACCTGAACCTGACAGGTGCTAAAAGGCTGGGTGGGCGAGGAGAAGGGCTTCGACCCTTTGGGCGTCACCGATGCCCTGCCCGTCTACTGGGTGCGCGAGGCGGAGCTCAAGCACGGCCGGGTCTGCATGTTGGCCACGGTGGGATGGATCGCCACTGACCTGGGCTTCCGCTTCCCAGGCGCCACCGGGCCGGTGGCGGGGTCGTGGTTTTGTGGTCGTCCGGCCAAAGGGTGTGAGACCCAAAGAGGGTGGGTGACGTGGGTTGGGAGATGGGAGAAATCGAGGAAGACTGTTGGGGGTTTGCCCTGCCTTTTCACGAGCGCGTTCACCGGTCCAGACTGGCAATGAGAACATGTCCAAACCTCAAAGAAGTCGAGCGTAAAACAGGGTGACCTTCAGTAGTCAAAGGACGCTAAACCATGCTAAATCCAATTGTTGGGGCGTCATTGTACAAAACATTGATGGACTTTTTGCTCCTCTTGCTGTGGTTGGGAGGTTGATACCGCACCCTGCAGCATGGGGTTGGATGCAGACTCAACGGCTTTCTGTGCAGGTGACAAGTTCCAGGCAGTGGCCAATGCATACGAGGCCCATGACAAGATGGTGGAAGCTGGCTACATGCGCCTGGGCCTGCCCTGTCCTGTCTTTCTTTCCTTTCAAGAGGGGGTTTGTTTGTGTTTCAGACAGCTTTCATACACTTTTTTTTTTTTCGCTGTCTGCGACTTCGGTGTTTGCTAGCTCTTTTTTCGAACGTTGCATTGGAATAAGCAGAGTCCTTACCACCCATTCTCCTTCGGTGCCCAAAAATATTGCATTCACTCAGCGCAACTCAAACATCTCGAGCAACGCTGGCTCTTAAGTTGAGCATTTGCGGCGGTTCTGCAAGTGTGTACATAAAGTTTGTAGAGTGGCTGGAGTATGTGTGTAGCTGTTGCTGTTCGAGTGCAGCACCCAAAGGTGAAAGCATAACTAAGCAGATCGAAGGCTACATGTCTATGTATGTATAGTGTCCGCCCCCTACAAGTGCTCAATACATGCAAATATCATGTTTGGGCAAGTCTCAGAAGGGACTTGCGCCGATTCACCCCTTTCCAACCCTGATTGTGTGTGTGTGCTGAAAAATACAGCAATGCTGAAGATGTCTAAAGTATCTGTGGCTATGAACATCCATACTTACTTAATCTAAGTCTGTACCTATACTTGTATTTGTACATCTTCATATTTTACATACTCTACATCTCTATTATACTAGCTGGCTAAACTGGGAACACTTTGACCTGCTCAGACGTCCCTTTCAAGGCAGCAATCGTTCCACTTTTGACCAACCAGTGAGGCTCCCTTTCCTGGGCGCGATCGGCACGGTGGAGCTCTACTCCGGGTGGCTGCTCTACCAGGGCTGGTTGAAAGAGGCAGAGACTCCATGAGAATCTGTGGGTTTGGCTTTCAACAATGGTTCCGGCTGGAAATGGTTTACCATTTTTGGTCGATCATTTTCACATGTTTCGATGCCTATGTGCCTCTTCACCCATTTGAAAGATGCGGTTTCCCTCCAGAAGCTCCCCAGCACGTGCTCGCGCGCCCGCTCGTGCTCGCGCGGGACTTCCACATGTGAACATACCGCCCAAAAAGCGGAGGTGAACCGCGATGCGGGTGACTTCTTTGTGGGGAAGAACTTCCTGCCCAAAGAGCCGGAGAAGGAGAAGGACATGCGTGACCCGACAGAATCACACCCAGGCACTGCCTTGTGTGTTTGACCCATGTGAGGGAATCGACCCGCCATTTTCTTGTTTGTTTTCTACTTGAGGGCGATCTGTATCGCGTGAAACAGATCCCTCCCGCTGGTCCATGGGGATCGCGAAGGAAACCCCCTTGCACCTTGGAATAACATTTATCCACATGTATCCCAAGGTTGGAGTTTATTCTTGGTGAGGTTTTGTTGTGGATCCTACCTAGAGGCCCCAGTACACAAGACACGTACAATGTACAACTTGTGATTACAACTGTTTGTTGTGTTCTGTGCCATGTAGAACCGGGTTTCCACGCAAAAAGTGAATTGAACCATATTGAACACACCTCCATTTCGACACATTCTTGCCACAGGAGACACATGGTTTTGGCTGAAAGACCTAGTTGGTATAGGACTATAGACCATAGACTATAAATCTACATAGAGACCAATATAGGGATTCACTGCTTAGTTCTTCAGACACTTGTTGAGATCGAAACTCCTTGGGTGGGCAGCCCCATGGTTTCCGGCAACTTGGGATTTGGCAGTTATTCGGAATCACCTTCCACTTGTCCAGAGATTTGAAGAGATCTGAAGACAGTCCATCCATGCCGTCCATGCCGCGGGCAACTCTTAAGGTTTGAAAGAGCTCGAGAACGGGCGCTTGGCCATGTTCGCCTTCAGCGGCATTGTCACCCAGGCGGCCATGATGCCCGGCAAGGTCTGGCCCTTCTTCTGAGCGCCACAAGGTTGGTGAATGGTGCGGAACGTCATCGGAGTGGAGCTGGCGCAGGATTTCGGGGGCGAATCTCTACGAGCGACTTTTTGAAGAAAACGACCCCGAAAAAGTGCTGCGGCTTCAAGTCTATGTATGTAATGTAATGTAATGTAATGTAATGCAATGCAATGCAATGCAATGCAATGTAATGCAATGCAATGTAATGTAATTTAATGTAATGTATGTATGTATGAATGTATACAGTAATACAGACACACACAGAGATAATATATATATATATATATTACATGAACAGTCTTTCAGAGGAACAGCCCCACGATTCGATTTCTTGGAGACTCCAAGACCTCGATCCGAACATTCAACTGTCTACCTTGAACGTCAGAAGCTTCTCCATTGAAAACTCCGAAAACTCCGGCATGGAACGGTTTTCAGCGTGGCCTGAGGCCGAAGACCGAAGAACGTGTGACGCCTGAGAGTCGCTCCAGCCACTCCAGTCACGACGAGGAGTAGCGGTCTGTCCGAGAACGGGTGACGCGTCGACGGGGGCGGATCGGACGACACGACGTGGGAGCTATATGTGCCCATTGGTGGCACATATTGCTGGACCCTATGTATCCTATGATCTCCCTATGATCTTCCTATGATCTCCCTATGATCTTCATATGTGACATCTAAGAACCAAATGAATCATGCGAGCGCAATTTCGAAACGTGAGAGCTCTCCTGCATCCAGGTAACAACTATATCGGCTAGTAGTGGGTTTTAAGAACAAGACGGAATGGCAGGAGACTGAGACCATGGTCACATTCCTGAAACCTCGGCCTTTTGAGTCGACAGGCGCGACGGGGGGCCGCTCGCGTCGCGCTCCGCGTTCGCGTCGTCTCCGGCGGGTTCTGGGGTGGGTTCCGAGACTCCGCGCCGGTGCACGGGGCTAGCTCTATACGTAAAAGAAAAAAGAGATGCTTGCAAAGTCTGTGACAGCAGACCTAGGAGAATCGGTATGTATGCATATATAATATGTATATATATATGATAATATCCCGACGGGTTTACTTAAGACAGTGAAACGTTAACACTCATTGTCTTCAGTAAACCCGTCTGGATATATAATTATACATAATATCATACATATATATATATAATATACAGTATATATTATGAATGATAATAGTTCTTGAGGGCCTTCTGCTCCAAGATGGGTGCTTTTGCGAATTTGGATGGCCAAGCAAAATAATTTATCACAAACTCGTCCACCTTAAAACTAGTGGTCCCGTATTGGACACCTTAAAGTCACCAGCTCTACAGATGTGACCGCTGATTTCTTCAATAAACGTGCATCTACTTTAGATCCACTGACCCAGTGCCCCGCCAGAACATTTTCGCAGATCGGCCTGGAGGGTCTTCCTCCCATCGTGCCGTTTGGAAAATCGGTTTCGTTTGGGCAACCTTTTGGGCAATGAACAAAGGAGATTCCGCCACTGACCCCAAGTCACGGCCGCATTCCAAGAAGGTGAAATCTGAGTCTCCGCCAAACAGATGCACTGGTCATACTACAAGCATTCGGCACCACGCTTCTTGCGCCAACCGGATGAGGGCCCCGATTTATTGAGAATTGGACGTCGCTCAAAGATGATCTTTAATATTGTTTTGTATGCGGTCCCCCGCCAGGAACTATCGACTGGACTTTTTATGCCATGAATGTATTTTGTTTTTCTGGTGCTCCCTTCAGGACACGTACCAGAGAAGCCAGAGATCACAGGCAGCTCTTTGCGGCTTGTGAGTTACTGTTTTCGCGTCGCTTGTGGGGTTCAGAAGCTCAACTGGTCACCGCGAGTGGATTTTCAGCACGATTGTTCATTCACGAAGGATGGAGTCCTGGAGATGGTTTTGCCAACTCGTTGAGTTAATGAGGGGGAAGAGGGGCTGTGACTACACCTCACTGGGTGAAAAAAGTTGGAACAGCCATGGACAGCGGGTGTGTTCGCTTTAGATGAGCCTTCACGTGGACGGCGTTGCAATCTCGTTGATGGGTCGCCGATTCGTTCCCTCATCATCCTCATGATGCGCAAGTCTCATGAAACCAGAAATTCCTCAAAACCGAATTCACCTGGAAAAACGTGTGGTCCGCTGGGATTGGCTCAGTTCGGTGGGCTTGTGGGAGCAGTCCAGGCTTCTGGGTTGGCTGGTGATTCAACCTCTTCTTCCTCCACATAGTGAGGTGTCATTTAGGAGAAAGATGAGAAAGCTTCACATGCGTTATGCGTTGCTGGATTATGGCTGGGTCCTGATGGTGATCAATGAGGGGAATCTGGCAAGGCACCTCCAAGTCTTCTCATTCTTCTCATCTTCTTGAAATCGATCTTTTCTGGGTAGTCTGTGGCGACCAGCTGGTGTGGACTGCTCTCCCGAGCCCGCCGTGTGCAGTTTGCGAAGTCTTTCTTGTTCTCCAGTGCCTTGGCTAAGTCTTTGAATGAATCTCTATATATATATATATATTCAGATTACTCATCAACCTCCTGTTTTGTTGGATCATGGGCTGAAACTAAACGACGAACAAACTTTCAGTGCCAGAGCTTCAGGGCTTGCTTTCATCATTGTTTCTTCGCATTTCCTTCTTGGAAAGAGCCAATGCCATGGCTTTGCGTGGTTGCTTGCTCCTTTGGCTGGCAGCTGCTAGGCGTGAGCTGGATCCCAATGGTCCCAATGTCCAAGGTGGCTGGGCAGCCTCTTTTTTCTGTGGCTCGGGGGATCTGGGAGCTTGGTTGGGACGCCTCCAGTGATCGCATGGTTTGACTGTACGCATGACTGTGGAGGCTTCAACGAGAAAACCAGCGGAGCGCCAAACCAAGGAAGTCAGTGACTTCACTCTTCCAGAAGTCATTGCACCTAACAGGGTATCAGCTCAAGAGACAGGCATTTTCTGGGAAGTCCAGTGCACAATCCAATTGCCCTTATCACCACCTGCCGCCTGCTGTTCTTGGAGCCCACTTGAGCACTCAGATGAACATGGTGATTTTATTGCCACAGTGACCCTTCATTCGGCACATTCGTGAACAGTAGGATAGAACAAGTTCCTGCGATCGGAAGCTGAGCTAACTAAACCATGGTCCATATACAATTATATATGCGTATATATATATTATATTATATATGTGTGATTTTTGTGTTATGTTTCTTTTTTCCCTTTATGTTTTCCTGAGGCCTGCTAAGGAGAGGGCACGGGAGCGGATGCGTCCGACTCAGAGGCCACGAGTCGCGGCTAAATGACTAGCGAAGAGGCATCAAGATCAGCTGGAATAGTGAGCTGATTGGCCTTGACTTAACCACTTGAAGCATAAAAATCAAGAATCCTCAAACAATTAAGAAGCAGAGATGCCAACCTGATGGGCTTATTGAAACTATATGAAAACACACACATACATATGTATGTAGTAGGGACTTCAAGCTCTCCCTGCTTTGGGTGTTCCCACCATCACTGCCAACCATCCTGCAGGAGCGGTTGCCCACTTGGTCAGGGAAGGCCGGATTTTACTAGCGCTTCAGAGAACGTCAAGTGCTTCTGTGGCTGGGATGAAGCCATTGGTATTCGCGCTGGGGATGCGGTGAAGGACAGCCCCTCTCACGAAAGCCAGCGGATAGGCTAGGTTGAAGTTAGCGCTGCGAACGAAGTTCGTTATGAGGGTGTGTGGCCTACTGGTGTTTTTTTGCTTTTTGATGGAGGTGATTTTTGGTGGCTTGGTGATGCAAAAGATGCAAGGTGACAAGGGTATTACATCACTTAGTCACTAGTGAGAGTAGTAGACAAGGACATGTGAACATGGCTGAAAGAGTTTTGTGACTATGTGCAAACATATCCATTTAATTGTACCGAGACCACTGATTTCAGTTTCAGTACCTTGTTTTGAGATTTCAACATGGCAGAAATATGGAGGCGCTGCGGATAAGGAGCGAATGACACAAGCCAGCAGTCCAAGTAGAACCCAAAAGGAAGACCAGGGCCTTGCAACCATATCCACCACAGCAATGAAGGTTGTTTCACCGGGAAGAGTTGCAGCAGCTTACTGAACATGGCTGAAACAACGATGTACATATATACTGTATATATATATACACACATAGAACATGCCTCGTTGCGGAGACTACTTCAGGCAGACAAAAGTTTACGCTTGTTAGCCTTCTTACAAATCACTCTGAGGTCAGCGGCGGATCGAATTAACAAGTCTAATTTTCGTGGCAGGTGTGGGACGGTCAATTATCACACCCCTTTAAATTTATAACAATAAAAGGCTTTCCGGGGTGACAAATGACCGCCCTCACCTTCCCTTGTCTCATGGTGTAGGATTCTAGGGGGATAGGGTTGTCATGAGTTTCAACATCAAGAAGCGCAACTTTCTTCTGGCCAGTGCGTTAAAAAAGGGGTGTTGCATTGACAGGTAACTGGTTGGTCGTTTTTAAGTGAAATGTCAATCTATACAGTACTCTGTCCTCTTTACAGCTCTATATTTACCAAACATATCTATATACGTATAAATATAAATAGACCAGAGGTTGAACGGATGCACGTTTTGTACATTTTTGCTCTTCGCTGCCCTTCAGGCAGACAAAAGTTTACGCTTGTTAGCCTTCTTACAAAACACTCTGAGGTCAGCGGCGGATCGAATTAACAAGTCTAATTTTCGTGGCAGGTGTGGGACGGTCAATTATCACACCCTTTTAAATTTATAATAACAAAAGGCTTTCCGGGGTGACAAATGACCGCCCTCACCTTCCCTTGTCTCATGGTGTAGGATTCTAGGGGGATAGGGTTGTCATGAGTTTCAACATCAAGAAGCGCAACTTTCTTCTGGCCAGTGTAGTCCTATGATTCCCCAAAGCCACTGCTTTCAGTTTCAATACCTTGTGTTGACATCTCAGCTTGGAAGGGGGGAAAGTTATCGCGAAAGCTAGCTGTAGCTAGCTGGAGTCTGTCTTGCTTTAGCAAGGAGGGTGGGCCCAGGACCTG